TCGCGGGCGCAGGTCTCGCTGGTCAGCTCGTCCTTCGTGCTCAAGGGGGACGCGACGCACAACCAGGCGATGGTGCACTGGACCGGCGAGGACAGCAGCGTAAGTCCGCGCGCTCCACTTCCGGGACCCCGAGGTCACCCCGGGAGTCCCCGGCCACTTCGGGACGCAGCCGCCTCCGAGGCGCCCCTTCCGGGCTCAGGGGGAGGCACGGGGCGTCCCCAGGTGGGTGAGCGCCGCCCCTCGGGGGCAGCGGGATTCCTGGACCTAAGCCACATGGGGCGCCCCCGCTGGCCTCGGGGTTTCATGTTACAGGGAGGACCCTGGAGGCCCCGGCGTCCTGGGTTCTCGCGGGGACTCCCCTAACTCCTTCGTGCGCCCCAGACTCCGCCTAGTCTGCTCGGCGCCACGTTCGCGGTTTAGAGGCCCGGGACCCTCCCCAGCCTGGTCTCCCGGGAACTTCTCTTTAGCTCTTTGGCAATGGATTCTAGGAACCAGGGTTCTCATCCCCCCACCCCCCAATTCCCTGGCCCCGGTCGTGGATCTGGAAGCCCCTGGTTGCTTCCCCTTTGCTCGGGACCCCCTGAACGCCACAAACTCCCCGCCGTCCCCCATCTTCCCGGCCCCTCTGGCGTGGCTCCAGCTGGACGCTGGCCACCCCTCCAGCAGGCCACTTGTGCAGGGGCCTCTGAGCAGAGCAGGCCGGGCAGCCGCGGGCCGCCCTCCGCTCAGCCTGCCCGTCCTTGGCGGCTGTCCCCCAAGGCAGGGAAACCACCAAGAAGGGGCCCGACTAGGTCTCTGACTGTGGTCATAGAAGGTGGCCTGTGGGCAGCCCCAGCCGGCCGCCTCTGAATGACGCTCGGCTGGGTGAGGGGCTGTGGCCGGGAGTGCGTGGGCAGCTGTGGGTCCCCGAGTGTGCGACACTGGGTGGGAAATTCAAACCTGGCGTTCCTTGCTTTCTCTCCCACCATCCACGGGGTCTCCCTCAGCCGCTGACCCTCACCCTTCTTGGTGGCCACAGCTCCCCGAAGCTCTGGGCCAGGGATTGGAGGGGCTGGCTGGGGTACTATGCCCCTCCCCCATCCAGCCCCTCTGGGTGCTCTTGGGGAGGCTGTAACTGGGAGAGAGGGAGGGGGAGGAGAGATTCCTACTAGAGGAGGGGCATGACCAGCTGGGTGCAGCTGGGAAGCTCTGAAGGTGCTCTAGTCCGCCCCCCCCCATCTGCGTCTTGAGAAGGTGTTAGACCCCAGGGTGCACAGTGGCCTTGAGGGCCTGACCCTGTGTCCTGGTCCTGCAGCCCCTCCTCCCCCCAGTGTGTTATTTCACCCTGTAGAGGGCTGATATGTGATGGGTGCACCTGCACCCTGCAGGAGACACACTCAGCCTGACCCCATCCTCTAATGGGCATAAGAGGGCTGTGGGGTGCCGTGGGGAGCCCCTGGGGGGCAGTGGCAAGGCTGGTGGGAAGGTGGGCTTGTGAAGGGTCAGGTGGGCGGTGGCTCCAGGGCCAGGAAGACCTGAGCTGAGTGGTGAGAGGGTGTCTCCTCTGCTTGGGGGGCTCCAAGGGGGGCAACTGGTGGGCACCATGGTCCTTCAGAAGGTGCAGCTGGTGGGAAGGTGGAGACCATGGACATCCAGCGATGGTGCTCAGGGTCCTGTGCTTGCTGCTCCAGTGCATTGGTCCCTTAGAGGTGGTCTGGGGGTGGGGAGAGAGGGCACGACGTTGGGCCCCCCATCCTCTGGAAGGGCAAGCAGGGGACACGGAGGCCTCCTGGAGCCCAGAGGTCGCTGGCTGTGCTGAGGCCCTGCCCTGCAGAGGTGCAGTCCAGCACCCGAGACGAGACGCCCTGTGATGGCCCCTCCACACCCATGCTGGCACAACTTGGGTGGGCTTCTCAGCTCAGAGGGCCTCACACAGGCACTCCCTCCCACTCCCACCCCTGACCTCCCTGGATGCAGACTTCCCCTGCCTCGCTCCTCCTGGAGGAAACACAGGATTTTGAAGCAAAAGCCACAGGGTGACTGAGCGGACAGGCCGTCCTGCCCAGGGCGCTGCTTTGCGCATTGGTGGTGGCCGGAGGGACATAGGGGCTGTGGGCGGCGAGTGTCGGGTTTAAAAGCATCAGGGTCGGTGGCCTGTTTGGGGCGTGCAGAGCCCCGGAAGGGACCGCTTGTAGTGTCCTCATGCCCCCATGGATGTGAGATGTATGAGGCGTGGGCTTCACTGTGGACCCATCTAGCGCGGGGCATTGAGCTCGGGGACATGTCTCAGTCCCCTGCTGTGATCCTGGGTCCCTGATGCCCAGGGGGCTGTGTCCAGAAGCCTCAGTTTACCATGTCTGTGAAATCATTTCAGCCAACTCCCTCAAGGTGCAGCGGGACCTGGACCGGCGGGACCTGGACCGGGCCAGCTCCACCTGCTGGCTGTCCTTAGACAGCCGGGGCCACTGCCTCTCCCTCCTGTCTCCCCGCCCGTCTCTCTCTGCCTCTCTGTCTCAGGAAATCTCTCTCCGCCTGCTTGTTCCCCACTCCTACGCTCTCCTGGGCCTCAGGGTTGGGGGTGCCTGAGGCAGAGGGGACTCAGGGCACACAGCCCACTCTGTCCTGGCTGCTACATCCAGACAGGCCGGCTTCTGAAGCCCTTCTCTGAGCACCAGTCCCAGCCCCTCATGGGGTCCCAAGGGCAAGAAAGAGAGGAGTCTTGTTGGCGTTTCCCCCCAGGGAGGGGCTGTGTGGTGGGAGGGGCTGTGTGGTGGCCACCCTGGAGAGGCCGGGAGCGATGTGGTGACTAGAATGACACCCGGAGGAAGCTGGGGAGTCAGAGCGGGGTGAGTAAGGGGAGGGCTGGGAGACATCTGCTCCCGTGGGACCTGATGCCAGGGGTCTGATGTCGGCAGCTGGCCCAGGCTCCTCTCCCGGGGTCTGTTCACAGGTTCCAGGGTTAGAACTGCCATGTGGCCTTCTGGGGACACCAACTGTGCGGTGAGGGTCCCCTGGCCTCTGTGCTGACCTGTCCCCTGCCCTCTGGCCAAACCCTCAGGCCCTGGGGTGCACAGACCCCAGTGTCCTCTCACATGCCTCTTGCGTCCCCCTCGTGGGAGCCCTGTGGGTGAGTGAGTGGCCTCAGCTTCCTCACAGCCTCCTGCAGGATGTCGGGGCCCTGAGCCCTGGGGCCCAAGTCACAGAGCAGTTCTGTGTGTGTGTCTGAGCAGTGGCTGGACCCTGGAGGGGCTTAGAGAGCACTGGCTGGGACAAGGTGGCAGTGTCCAGTGAGTGCTGCCCACAGGTGCTCTGGCCATCCCCTGAGCAGGGGAGCCCTTGGCCTGGAGGATGGATGGTGACTGATTTACCATGGCACAAGTTCTGCTCAGGGGCGGGGCCAGTGGAGAGAGGTGAGGTCAGCAGACCACAGTCTGTGACTCGGGCCTCTGCTACCAAGGGGCCACTGCCCTGGCCTCCACTCTTACCCATGGCCTCGCCGGGCAGTGTGGATGAGAGGCCGAGGCTGTGGAGACTCCTGGCAGGGCAGCCTTTGCACACGACCCCATTCCCACCCGCGCTGGGTTTCAGCAGAGTGTCCAGGCTAAGATAGATGTGGAAGAAAGGCCCGGTGTCCACTTGTGGAGAGCAGCCAGAGAGGAATGCTGGGGAACACAGGGAACACTCTCTGAGCCCCTGGGGGCGGGGGGGGGGGGAGGCTGCCCCTGCCCACAGCGGCTGTGATAGGGGCTGGCACCACCTCTCCTGAAGGTGGCACAGGGCCTGGTCGGGCGTGGGACCATTGCCCTGGACCCACTGTGTGTGTGTGCTCCATGGTGGGCACCAGGGGATGAAGGCAAAGGTGGCTCCTGCCCTTCTGGAAAATTCCTGAGAACATTCCCCATGAGGCCAGCTCAGAGGAAGCCCAGGATCCTCCCCACACACACCTTTGCCTGGACAGCGACCACCTGGCCGGCGGCCTGTGGCCTCACAGGTTCCTGGAAGCTGTTCTCTGCACCACCCACCTCCCCGCCTGCGGTGGCCTGCCTGGAGCCCATCCGAGGCTGGGGGCGGGGCCCCAAGTGCAGGCTGAGGGGTCAGAAAATAAGCTGCAGTCACAGAGGGTCCGGCCGTTTCCGGCTTTGGGACAGACCCTGAGGAGCTTGTCAATCGTCCTCTGTCTGGGCTGCGGGCTCAGAAGAATGGGGGCTTTGTGGGCTTGCCTGCCGCCCTCTGCCGCGCAGCTGGGACACTCGCTGTTTGGCTTGTGCTCAGCTTTGGGGGGGCCAGGGGCTCCCCAGCCAGCCTGCGCCTGCTTTCTGGAGAGCCGGAAGCAGAACTCTGAGGACATCCCCACCCTGCTTCCACAGGCCTCGATCCACGGGAGTGGGGGCCCTGGGTGCATGTGGGGCCCCTCCTTAGGATCAGGATGGGGCATGGGGTTGGCATGCCCCCCAAAGAGCCTCTCCACACACAGGGAGGGACACCATGGGAGTGGGGTGAAGGGTCTGAGAGGGCAGAAGAGGGTGCCAGATGGGGCAGAGCTTAGTTCAGGGGCGCTGGGCCATCAGGAAGAGCAGGAGCCCTGAGGGAAGGAGGGGTCCATGAGAAGCAGGGAGGGAGATGGGGGATGGGCATGGAGGGAGGGACAGCTGGAGGGAGATGGGGGGATGGACATGGAGGGATGGAAGGAGATGGGGGATGGGCATGGAGGGACAGAGGGATGGAGGGAGGAAGGAAGGAAGCCTTCCCCTCCAGAGCCCACCCAGAGAGAGACAGAGATAGGGAGAGAGGGAAGAAGCAAGAAGGAGAGAGAGAGGGGAGACAGACAGAGAGAGAGTCTGGGGGTGGGGAGGGAGAGAGGGGGCAGGGATGGAGAACTTCCAACGTGCTTTGAGGTGCAAGGCCAGTCGCTTCTTAATTTGCATTCCTGTGGCACGCCCCCCCCCATTTGCACAAAAAATTACAATAATTTAATTAGTTTCTCCTCACCCTGGCTCGGAGAGATCTTAAAATAGTGCCCCCCTCCTTCCCCAGCCCAGCCATCCTGTGTGGGAGCTGGTGCGTTCCTGGAGGCGGGGGTGGGGGTGACCCATCCCCACGTCCCAGATCAGTGACGTTAG